TGAGTCCATGTTTTGTGAGTCCATGTTTTGGCAGTCCATGTTTTGTCAGTCCATGTTTTGTCAGTCCAGTTCAGTCCAGCGCAGTCATCCTTTTACAACATGCCTTTATCTTGATTTGTTAAATATTTCTATTAAGAAAATAAGGTTTTCACAATATCGAAAAATTACTTAAAGCCTTAGGTCCTGGCTAAATGTTTTATAAGGTGGAAAAACTGCCAGGAAACATCGGGAAACAATGTTTCCATGCGCCTTGGAAACATGAAATGTTTCTGCCGAACAGCAAAAACATTTTTTGCGTCTTGGAAGCAAAATTCGTTGCACGCAGCAATGTTTCACATGTGGCTAAACTGGGAAACATCGAGGAAACATGCGCGCGGTAAACATATTTTTGAAAACATGTTTCTTCGTTTAGCCAGGGCCTTAGAACTCGGGAGCTCTTTACATTACGTCAGTCCGAAGAAAATGAGCAAATTCACGTTTTTACCTATCGTGCTTTGCGAACCCGTGTCACACACCACCTGGCTCAGATCAGTGCTGGGCATCATCCCACATCGAACATCGAGATTCCATTTCATAATATAAATGTCTTGTCAACCCTTTGTTGAATAAGAACGTCGTGTTTGTATGAAGTCCGAAAGTAAGTTGTGCTTAAACTTCATAAGCAGATGACGCAAGACGATTGAAAAAACGTTTAAATATCATATGCTAACATCTTAGTGAGCGAGTGAGTGACATATTTGCATATTCAGACCCCTCACAACAACTCGTTTCCACGCTTCGGGTATCCACGAGATAAAAAATACAAAAATATGAATAAAACGTTTTGACGTATGCTACGTCGTTAAGCAAGATATAAATAGAAAATACTACTATATAAAGAGAAGCGGCCCTCGGTCTTGAATTTCAATGCAAACCCTCGCCCTAGCGTATTAACCTTTACATAAAATATTTCTGTATTTTCTTTAGGAAATCCTTGGAATTGCTTTTAATCGAATCATGAAAATGGATCCGAGCAGTCGCGAAGCCATCAAAACTTGGCGCTACAGTGTCATGAAATCATGGAATGTCAATTGGGAAACAAGAGAAATGATTGTACAGTGCGAGGGTGAAACTATCGCTTTTAATTGTTTAAGCGCAGATATCAAATCCATCCACGAGTTTATTGGGGGATATATTTTCTTGTCCATGAGAAAAGACGTCAATCAGCCACCGAGTGACGAATTGTTTTTCAAGCTCACTGGAGGATGGCTTTGAAAAAGTTTTCTCGGTTTCCGTTAAGACTTGACCACGACTTTACTTTACATTTTTTGACTTGTTCATGTCATCGTGAGACTCGAATATAAGTTTTATATCACATTAGTGTTGTAAGTGTATTCCAATAGGCCTCAAGCATGATGACGTTTTTTACCTACACTTCCAGAATCCCTTTCGATACCTTTTTTGTTACGCTAATTATCATAGTTGTGGCTATTCTCAAAGGAGTTTTAACACTTGATAGCCCAGGCTCATAGTTAGCGTTCAATAACTGAATCGATCGAGAGACAGACAGACAAAGATTATATGGGTACTTTTGAATCCTCATTTTTCTGCTCTAAAATCAATACAATCAAATAAAACTCTCACCGTGTGTTGTTGATATATTGAACAGCCCCATGGCTTAATTTCAGCTCATTTCATTAAGGTTTAGATGGCGCTCCCCCATGTCATGTTTTGTTTTGTGTATATCACCCGAGGCTACCCTCGAGAGTTTCCGATTTTCCTCGGTCCAGGCTCTCTCGAGAAAAAAGCGGTTTTCGGGTGGCAAAAAAGTCAAGAATCAAAATGGCGTGCTGAGAAGCCGAATTGTTATACTCATTTGGGGATTGCTTCTCAAGAATAATGGCTTTGTTAATTCTGTTAAGGTGAGAGCGTGACTCAGTTATCTCTTCAAAGAACTGCAGAAGAAAGTATTCAACTGGAAACATTTTTCGGCAAAATAATTGGCAGAGTTCGACCTTTCGAAGGTCGTATTTTCTGAGTCGTTTCCTACCTTCCTTCCTTTAGTGTATAATGGGGGAGCGTCATCTAAACCTGAACCAAATGAGCTGAAATTAAGCCATGGGGCTGTTCAATATATCAAAAACATACGTGAGAGTTTTATTTGATCGTATTGATTTTAAAGCAGAAAAATGAGGATTCAATAATATCCATAAAATCTTTGTCTGTCTATCTCCCGGAGCGTATAAGGGTTCTTTAGGGTCTATTGAAAAAGGGTTATTTTATTCAGTTGCGATTGAATACCTGAAAAATCGTTTTGAAAATTGGTTGTGGATCCGACGTTGGATTGACGAAGAATTAAAAAACCTTTCATGTCTTGGATATTAGATTAAAAATTCAGTGTATTGTCATCGGCTCCATGGCAGTGACATTTTACAGTGAAAGCAAATAACAAAAGTATAGAGGACGGTTTTAAGGACATTTAATGATTTTTGAGTAGAAAGTAGTAGAGGTTGATTCATTGTGTGGAACCTATAATTAGCAAAGTTTGCGCTGACGTCACCTATTGTATACCAATCAGAGATCTATCTACAATCAAGAGGTCTTTGTTTTAATGGTTTGCAAATTTGAATAAGAAAAGATTCCTGATGTCAATGTACATGTTTGTTAACAGCGAATATCGCTCATGCAACATTTCCAAAACCTAAACCTCTCCCTAAATTAACAATCAAACGACAGAAATGGCACACGAGAACAAGGTTTCTTAACAGCGATGTTGCAGTGAGAAATTTTTCACGCAAATGTGTTAAAGAGAATACAAACTGAATAGTGCATTCCAAGACTGAAGGGCATTGTGGGGCTCGTTAATTTGAAATAAAAAGTAAATATACAGCAATTAACTCAGTACATGTAGTTAGTATATTGTTTCAGATGAAATACACTAAACATAGAATAAATTATTATTAATCCTACTTTAGACAATGTCACAATGACCTACAATGCACTTGGGACTTGGAATGCACTATTCAGTATGCAGAATTCAGTATTCAATATTTGTTGAAATAACTGTAAACAAACGGAAAGCAAAACGACGAAACCAATATAGAACCAGACTGGTACTATCCATTGCTATATTATGTTAGGATACAGGAATAGTCTAAGGCTGCGTTTRCAGGGTACCGGACGAATTAGCTGTGTTATTCTTACGCCTAGCCGTGCAAATTTGGGACCTGCATAGTCGAGGTTGAATTTTTGACTTGCACGTATATAGAATTGACCCGTACCGTGAACATCTTGTCTAGATGACATTTACACAGCAAGCCGTAGGGAGTATGCTTTTTGCCATTCTCCTATGCAGCCGCTATTGATGGTTTTCAACCATTTCCAAGAGAATGTAATAACAAAAGACACAGCGGCCATGTTGGAGAATATAACAAAAGAATTAATTGACAATTCTTTTGTTAAGTCTCTCCAACATGGCCGCCGTGAAAACCAATTAGCGTCGTCACACAATGCTCAGTCCCCCAATTAGTTACTAAGGGGAGAGAGTGTTTCATGACGACACTAATAGTGGCTCACATAGGAGACTGGCTTTCGGATAATCTGATCGGAAAACCACTAACATTATATTGATCCTGTTACGTGTAAACAGAACGTTCCTTTTTTACAGTTATGTGTTAATGGTATGTTTTGGTCAAAAGTTTTAGCCGGTTTAAAATTCTTCCGGTACCGTGTAAACGCAATAAAATAGTTCGAGTACTTGAGGTCGGGTGTTCTAGTATAAGATGTTACATACCGAGAAAGCATTTCTTCGCCTTTAACTCCAAGGCAATAGGGTCTTGTAATGAAACACTATCTTTTTGAAATGCTAACAGCTGCAGCACAAGCAACTTTATCTGTCTTGATGCCATTTTACAAAATTGTAAAGTTTGGTGAAGATATTTCAAAATTCAGTGAATGTCTACGTTTTTGARCCTTGCAATTTTACGGGGTTCGTGCAGGTGCTTGAAAAGTCCTTGAATTTTTAGATATGATACAAATTCAAGAACTCATGAAACCACCTTGAATACTCCTTAAAAGATGAAGAAAATTCTGCCAATGCTGTGAGGTTTGAAAATGAAATAATAAAATGATTCAAAACAGTAAAAAATAACCGTTTTCGAATCAGTCACGTATCGCTTTGTTCCCAAGTTACAGACACATGATACTTCGGGTTGTGGTTAGTCTCATTTCAGTGTGCAAATATTCAAAAATACCAACGCCGTAAAGAATGCACAACTTCAAACACTTTGAAAGTTGATGGACTTAGAATGGATACATAAATATTCAGTCCAAATAATTCCATACGAAATTGTCGGATTGGAAGGAGCACAAGAAAAAATTAAACTTAGGCAAATGTTCTGAATGTACGGAGCCCTGGAGGAGCCATGCACTGAATTGTTTTTGCAGACTGAAATCCCCACATTTTTGCATAGGAATTTCATGCATTTTTTTTAAATCCACACTTTTTAAAAAATCCCCACTTTTTTTAAAAATCCCAACTTTTTGGCCCTTCCAGGGCTCCGTATGAATGTCCTTGAAAATTCCTTTAGTTATTACTCTTGGTTGATCTATCTAGCAAGCGCAATCCATCATGTGACAGGCGTTCCTCGTAGTGTTCGTAGTGTTTTGGTTTCGGCCGATCCGAATGGCTTACGATCGTGTAAGGAAGGGAATGACGAATCAATAACGAGTGTAATAGGAGGGACACTGGTGAAAAACGCACTGCGCACGCTCGGAGATGGCGTTTCATAACGAAGGGCAACTTATATTTTTGATGCCGGTGTTTTGATTGTTTTACAAAATCGCAAAACTTWAAAAAAAATACTTAAAACTTGAGGTTGTCCTTTTCGCAATAGCAAGATAATTTCGATTGTGATACACTGCTGATTTATGCAAAAAAAAAAAAAAAAAACGTTTATACAAAGCAAAAATCATCTTTGAAAATACCGCCACTCGCGGCCCGACGTCGACATCCAGCATGGCTAATTTGCAGATAATCACATGGTCGGATTCTATGTAAAGAAATCCAAAAATATCTGTAAAATTCCAAAACGAATATTTAAAAAATAGCCCTGTCGGTTAAAAGAAAACCTACCCTTAGATGTGATCAATTGTTATTGTGCGCGGCATGTTTGAGAATTTAAATATATTTCAAAAGAGTCCCAAAACGTTTGCCATTTAGCAGGATTTCCTGAGAATCCTTTAGCGTCAATTTGGGAAGTTTTGGCCCTTGCATTTGGCTTGATTTGGCCTTTGATGAATCACTTTCCACGTTTCCACTTTGTGCTCCGAGACACGTCTCGATTTTTGCTAAGCATCTATAAACAGTTTCGCAAAACTCACCCGATTCCTCTATTTCCTTCTCGATTTCTTCTTCCTTGACAGCTTCGAGGATTTGTTCGTCCAATTTCTTTATAATTTCAACCTTTTCTGTCAGGGAGGATTTTAAACCCAATAAATGTTCTCTTTGGCTTGGCGARCCTTCGTACTCTTCACATACTTTATTGACTTGCGCGATCACCTTGTTTACGTATCCTTTGTGACCTCCACGTATTTCTTTGCTTTTCCTAACTCCATTTTGGATTTCTTGCTTCTCTTGTAGTCCGGCCTTGTTCTTATTCCTGTAATCCGGCTCGAAGGACCATGTTTGAGAATTTAAATAGATCACTATAATCGTATTGAACTCGCTGGTGACTTTACTTTGAATTTCTCAATTTGATAACTACACTCCGATTGATATGAGTTCCGAAGGATTAAAACTTCAATTTCCTTGACTTGATAGCTATACTCGATTTTAAAACTGGACTCCGATATGAAACTTATACTCCGTTAAATGACTATATTTCGTTTGAATGCTCAATGGCTATACTTTCCTTTCTCGTTCCTTCCTCGACTTCCATTCCGATTCTGACTTCTTACAACATATTCATACATGTCACGTGACTCTACGTTTTGACCATTAATTAGCATATCCCGCGAATACGCAACACACGCCATTTTTTTCTCCCAACGCATGCGCAGTGCGTTTTTCACCAGTGTCAATGGTAGGGGAGTGAAACGTTGGAAATTTTATCGTCATACGCTCGTAGCTACGGTGGCCGAGAGCGGACATAAAAAAGTCAAAGTCAAAAATGTCAAAAGTTCAAAAGTCAAAGTGATTTAGGACCATATTACAAAGCCGTGAGTTTGTCTTTTTGATCAATTTCCTCTTGTTATTTTGTCACAAGACATTTTAACATTTCGTCTCAAGCGACTTTGTCGTCCAGCATTTTGTCATGAAAGACTTTCACTTTTGAAATTTCTCCGTTTGGCCTCCGACATTTTGTCGACGATTTGTGAAACGGCCAAAAGCAAAACAGCGAAAAGTCAAACTCAGATTGAAAGCTCCCAGGCGTTCTTCGTAATAAACAAAGGTAACCCACACTATAAAGTTCGCGTATACAAGCAAGATCATTCATAACCATTCATAATCATTTCTTGCGAGTTTAGTAAACTCTGTCCGCTGATTGGTTAGGAGTATATTTACAATATGGCGGCCGCTGCTGCACATAGCGAAAGCGGGCCGTAGCTGTTGTATTCCTTAGTTTTACGCTCGACGAGGAGCCTGGAATAAAAAACAGATCACCTAAAAACCCTAAGACAGAGTCAGAATGGGAGAGCTTCCTCTATTGCCTTTTCTAAGGCCTTTTTGTCTTCGCAACCCGTTTTCCATAAACATGTGAAGTTCTGAAGACTTGAAATGAGTTCCGTCTTCTTTTCTTCGGTCAGTCTTTTATCGAAATTGATCTCGGAATCTTCACTGTCCGAAGACTTTGCCGGCGAAATCTCCCATAGGTCCGCCATGTTTGTCTAGATTCAAGGGAACACGTTCTGCCCTAGCGTTTCCCTCGCGTAAGTTTGGACTTTGATCGGACCAGGAAAAGTGACTCCTCGCGACCAATCAGCAGCGAGATCTTTTTAAAATGTTGCGTGACACGTTGTGTGTTTGATGAAAAACGAGCAACAAAAACCAAACATGTTGCGCAAAGTTGACTGGCGCTCTACTTCGTGCAACAACTTTTTGAACTCGCAACAAATGATTTTGCTAAAGGTTTGGGGTGAAAAGCGCGCAAAAGTGATTTTCAACTTGCAACAAAACAATGCTGTGCGACAAGTTGCATGATTTTGTGTCACGTATTTCGCCGCCTTAAAACAAGTCCATAGATCCATTTGTTCCGTTCCCCCCCGCCCCCCCCAACACCTCATTCGTATTTCAGAAACCCATTCCAACTACAGTAATACCCCATACTTTAATTATCCCAAAACTCATTTCTAATTTCTCATTCTCCCTTTCTTACCTCTACCAATTCTTATTCTTCTCCTTTCAACTCCAAAAAAAGCCAAACCTTATTTCCCAATASAGTGATCATGCATAACAGAAGCTCCTGGGTTTCTCAAATCCTTGCCCAAAACTTAAACCCCAAAACTTAACCCCCAAACCTAACAGAGGCCGAAATGGACAAGGCATTTCTGTTATGAGAGAGAAAATGAATSTTTTTACAGACTAAGCTAGACATCAGTTTTTTAATTACTATTTCTTATCGTATGAAAACAAGATAAAGAACGATCAATTAGTTATTGAAAATATCGATATAAGATTTCAGTAAGGCTGCNAATGATTCTTTTACATTCCTTTAAGAGTTAATTCAAAAGGTTGGAATTGTTTTTTCAGTGGTGACACGATTCAAAATATAAACAAATTGTAATGCATCACGGTAAGTGGCAATGGGTCTTTGATTCTCAGTCAGGACACGAATAACTCACAGATTGCACAATGCTAAAGTTCAATTTGAGATGGAATTTACTGATTACCGTCTTAACTGGTTTTGCGAAAGGAAGAAAATTGTAGAACCGAAAAACAAAAATTATCGAATGGAGGGAGATAGTGCTAGACCCAATATGAGAAATCAAACCCGAGACCCGCGTGGCCATCAGTAAGAGCGAATGAACTACTTCTGTTATGAGAGAGAAAATTAATGTTTTTACAGACTAAGCTAGACATAAGTTTTTTAATTACTATTTCTTATCGTATGAAAACAAGATAAAGAACGATCAATTAGTTATTGAAAATATCGATATAAGATTTCAGTAAGGCTGCCATCACGCACRAGYTTAGATRATGGTATGCTTTGAATTTACAAGTAAACTACTTAGCTCCTCCCATTAGCATGTACACCTATGGTTACGCCCTACACACTCTTTACCCCTTTGCYYAGTYATTTTAGCACTATTCTTTTAAATCTTATGATACATATATTCCTCGTAGACCTTTCTATACATTTACCATATATTCACATATTATCCTTGGTTTAAGTTATGTTTAGTTCTATGATTTTCACTCGTATTATTCTTAATAAGATATCACACTCAGGAATTTACTATTTCCATTAGCCAATCAAGGCACAGCGATAATATCATATTGATTGTAGAATGACACCTGTCATGAAGTTATTATAAATAGAGCTCATGTAATTAGTTTTAGTCAGAGTGAAGAGAAAGTGGAATAAAGATCCCGAGTAGCTCTACCGAGAGCGGTCCATCCCATAACATTTCTATCAAAAACTCATACATTACCAGCCTATTCTCATTCACGGTTATATGCAGATGTTGCTTACATTGATAACAAAGAAAGACGCTTTTTCATACACTCATATATCATTTCCTAGGTTTATAAATATTTAGGGTTTCTGGATATACGTATGTTCAAGGACAGGTCTTATTTCAGTTTCGTTTGGGAGGTATCTCTCGGGGGAGGGTCGTGATATTTAAAGCCGCCAAGCCCAAAGGGACGGCAGGAAATTTCATTCCTATTGCTGGGCAGGGTCACATCATTTTTGGCGCTAGATTTCAAATCTCACCAGTCCTTTATTAGTACTGGCTCTGAACTGTACTGAACTACGAAGTTACAGGCGGTCTTATTTATACGTACTTCAATCCGCAAAGGTAGCAAGCTACTACGCACCAAAAGCTTTGGTTAATCCTTGTTGGTGTGACAACTAATCAGTTTCAATTAAAGAAAAGGATGACAATGCCTGAAAACAAGCACCAAAAGAGATGAAATTCGCATACTAACAAAATGCTTTACAGAAAAAAGTTACTATATTCTGTCTGTGAAATTGCGGATATTAACAGGTAAAATAGATTTTAAAGTGGCAAAATTACTGCTAATATGATTTGATTTGCCGTTTTGTTTTATTTTACATTCCTACCATAAAGTTAACCCAGGCACTTGTAAAGCTGAACTATCTATTGACCCTAGCTGGCAGGTGTAACTAGGGTTACCCTGCCTGATTTGTAAAGCGGTCTTTACCCTTCCCTCCTCGTAAAGAGGCCCTTAGATACCCCTTTGGCATAGAGATGGACCGTTAGAAAATTGAGTGGAAGGTTACAGAAATCTCGGGTTCAAGTCCTGTTCTAAGCCTGAATTTCCTTCAAGCTTCAAGTACTTAACAGCAGCACTGGCCGTATTTACACTAATATCAAGAGTGAGTATTACAATGATTGGGCTTCCTGTGCTGTATTTTAATAGCCAGCAGCACTGCTCATCAACGCATGCTCAGTAGTATTCTTTGTTCGCCATTATTTTGCCTTCAAATTGTACATTTTGACTTCAGCTTTTCATGGAAAATGGTGAGTATTTTAGACTTCTTACTCTATGAGACTATGAAATCTTACAAAGTCCTTAGGCAGGATGTAAAAGTTCCCAACAAAAAGGTATTTTTGTTGCTTTTTTTTGTCTCAGCTTGCCCATGATCTTCAGTTACGTGTAACAGTTGACTAAGCTGACCGGATTGATATTTCTTTATTTTATATAATGCTATTTGTATGATATATAAGCTYGGTGATGTTGGCATGAATACATCATTATTGGCAATATGTATTTTGAAATATACTTTGATAAAATATCTTTGAACGATTTTGCTCGAGCGTGTGTATGTCCTTTCATCGAATATGAACATGCATGATAGCTCACATGTAGCCCAAGCTAGGTTTCTTTGCTTTCATGTTATAAGAAAATATATGGCGATACTTAAAAACTTAAAAAAGGTCAAAATGTGAAATCAAATAAAGAAATCTTAGATTAGCTTTGCCAAATCCTAACATGTGCTTAGCATATGAAATTTAGTAGCTTTTGTAAGCTGAATAGCATATTCTTCATCAGAGCCCCTTAATTGAACTGATTTGTTTATTACAAAACCAAAACAAGGATTTCTATAGGACATCAATTATGGGTCTGGGAACTATTATTTTCAAAACACTCTCCCAGATTGCAAATCACAACCTAGAATAAATAGATTCTTCACTTCTTAAAGTGCTTGCACTCATTTTGTGACCACTTTTAAACATGTTGTGAGATTGATGTTGGGTAGCCCCAATTAGTATGTCCATTCTGTAAAAGTTTTGCAAGTAAATAAATAATACCTCCACATTTGTGCCTTTATAATTAACTAATGATACATTAACTAATGATACATTACGACCGCAGTACAAATATATATTGCATTTATATATAATATATATTCTCATACGCATATACACCTTTCCTATCGGGCTGATAAATCCAACTAACGGCACAGGCAAAATGTTGTCCTAATTCAGACAATATGTCATTCCCTAGAGTATTCTTTTTTGTTTAACGGTTGCGCTCAGTTGCACATGAGAAGACACATGAATATGGATGCAACTCCAATGAAGAATCTAATTCTCAAGGGAATGACATGTGGTCTGAAATGGGACAACATTACGCCAAAGCCAAGGAGGTCAATTAGGTTTGTTTGATGTGTTGTTTTCTCCTGTGCTATGAGAGTATTCTCCAGGTTCTCCGGGTGAAAAATATGAAGCATCTTGGTCTGTCAACAATGTTTAGTCAAAATGTTGAGTCAATTTTTGGTTGAATTATGGCTTCTTGAAGTTACTTACTTACTTATTATTTTATTTTGACAGTCTCATACAATATTGCTTGTCCAGCCTGGAAGTCGGCCTGAAACAAGAACCTATTCTGACTATGAAACACAAGATGAATGCATGGAAGGTATTATTATTATTTTTATGCTGTGTTTTAACTAAAATTGGTAACTTTTGAGTTGGTTTTTCATTGTTTGATCACGCCACTCTCCTGTCCRTCCATACATATGTATGTACGTACATACTACCAACATCTGTGTACACACCACAGGGTTCCCACATGATTTCAAAGCGAAACTCACAAATGCACAAAAAACATCGCTTTAGGACAAATTTAAGGCCAAGAATGACAACATAGAACATTTTTATGTAGTAACAGATGTATCAAGAAGTATTCTTCAAGAATTAAAGTGTTTTTTTTTATTCAAACAATYGTATATATTTTTACTTTCTACAGGGTTCGTGCTACTCCATTAACTCCTTGAATTTAAATCATGTTTTCAAGCGCACTTGAAAAACACTTCAGTTTTATGATTTTAGCAAAATTCCTTGAATACTCCTTGAATTTTAAGTGGATTTCTTAGCACCCACTTGTCTAGAAAAACCAGTTTCTTTCCCCTCCAGTGGACAAACAAAAAAATGTTCTCTAAATAGTTTTAATGTTTCTATAGATAATTTATTTCAAAAATTGTGTGGTTCAAAAACATAGAACATAAAAGCTGAGACCGTAATGGCAAATGGGAAATGACATAATKATATTATAATTTATTCATTTGCACCATCCATGCAGTCAGTTTAGAATGCCAAAYGCGTATTAGAAACAGTGGATGATGCCACAGGTYGCCAGTCACAGCATGCATCTAATTAACGTACTTCCCATGTGCCATTTCGGTCTCAGCTTTTATGTTCTATGTTTCTGAACCGGACAACGATTCTTCAATTGACTGTATACCATCACACTATGTAATGTGCTGATACAACACACGAATACATACTGGTACATAACGGCTGCACTAATATACCAGCACACCATGCAACACAAGATACAACACTATGATACATTAAATATAGAACTATAAACCGATAGACTGATACAACAATATACCAATACATTGATACAACGTTGTTTTGTAAGTTTTTCTGATTCAGGAAACGGATAGTTTATGATATTATGCCTTTTCCGCAGGTGCATTATAGAAGAATTAGTTTTTATTGATATATCTTTCATAAATGCACCATTTTACATTAAGAAATAAGCTAAAATACATAGAGATTACTTCATGGTTAGTAAGCGGGTACGGTTTTTATTCACGAGTTATGAAGAATCAAACGAACGAGCGAGTCTTCGAGCGAGTGAGTTTGATTCTCACAACGAGTGAATAAAAACCGTACAAGCGAACTAAGCATGATGTAATTTATTTATTTTATAAGTACTGAGATATTACGAGTAAAGATTTTTTGAACTTGGAGTTGAGAGAAAAATTTATTGAACCTCGAACAATTGGTTAACTGAAATAGAAATGTCTATAGTGTGATAAACTTGTAAATATAAGTATACTTAGATCAGATTTGTGTACTTGTTCAATATTAAAGTGAAAAGCAATCAAAAAATAACCTAATGACTAATATACGAAAAATATAATACTTCCTTTTCCTTTCTGTTTGAGTTCTCGCTTTGATTGCAAAGCTTTTCGTGTCTGTTCAAAGTCAGCGTCTTTGATGATGCTCACCACATAATTTAAAAACCAGCTATAAAAGCCTGTAAAGAGCTTGGTTCGTAGTTTTCGTTGGCTGGTTCTTTCTTACGGACACCGAGGACGAATTCGCTGAGGTATTCGTTGAGTTCTTTCGCAGGAATCTGTTCTATAGCACTCGTCTCTCCTTTCGTTTGTAAAAATTCCCTTGGGAGTGCCACATCGTTCTTTGACTTTTTTCTAGTGTTTTCGTTTTCCTGGCTCTTGATAAACTCAGTGATTGAGTCGATTTGAGCAAATCTTGAGCAACAACCTTCCATGTTTAGAATTTTTGACAACAAACACTCAAAAGCAAGCTGACACTTTCTGTATGAATTGTGGGAAATCTCGATATGATTTTTTTCACTAGTGAAAAATATCATATAGCCAATCATAGTGCTGATACGATGTTCTTCACTAGTGAAGAAAAACGTATAGCCGATTTTTATCAAATAGCTTGCGAACATGTAAATCTCAGTACTTATATAATAAAAATAGACACAAGTTACATTAGGGAACGTACCCAGGTTACAAAAGGGAGCTCCAAGTTACCTACCTACCTACCTACCTACCTACCTACCTACCTACCTACCTACCTACCTAC